TAACAGTCATCAAGCTTGAAAACGCACAGGTGGGACACAGAGAGGAGGTCTAGAGTGGACTCTGGTTAGTCAATGCAGGGTCTGTGCTGGGCTCTAGGGTATAGAGTCGAGAGGACATGGAAGCATTGTCCCTCCACCAGGCCTCCGCAACTTTGCCCAGTGAAATCAGGGGCTTCCTCATTTCTCTCCTGAGCCCCAACTTTGTCCTAAGGTCCCCTGGCATGTCCCTTGAGAGCAGCCAGATCTTGCACTGTCCTGATGGCCCACTCTGAAAGTGCAGCCCCCATGAGCTCTCTTCAGCTTGCCCCAGTGAGAGAGAGAGAAAAAGATGGATATCAACTCTGCTACCTCACCTGCCTTCCTCCCTGGGTCTTTGTCTCCTTAAAAAATAAGAGAGGGAATCTGCTTGAGCTTGCACACACCCAGCAGGGCATGGGGTGGGTTCTTCCAGTACAGGGAAGTCACCATAACAAAGACATAGCTGGCATCATCGGACTCCTCTGGGCCTTTTCCCTTCTTGGCTACAACCCCTAGTGCAGACAGTCTCTCCTTCTCCCCACCCACAGGTCAGCTCTGGCTCCTACCCAGCAGAGGGGATGGGCAACTTCAGATGTGCCCAACCCCCGCTACCTTCACATATAGCTAATAAGTGTACACCCTTCTCTGTTCACTTCTCCAAACTCCTTCTCAGCCCTGCTGCCATATTCTAACTGCCCCTCTTAGCTCTCAGTGTGGCACTGATGGTGGGGTCTCAGCTATCCCCAGGCATCCTTGCCAAGCCCTGCCACCTCTTACCATATTGTGAGCCTGCCCAAAGCTTGGACCTGCACTCTTGACAGATTTTTTAAGTGTATTCAATTTTAGTTACCCATAAATGAATAGTTTCAAAAATATGTGAATTCCTGTGAGAAGCACAATTCTCCTTTGACTTCCCATATCCAATCTTAGTCCTTTTTAAAAGTTGTTGTAGTAAATTGCTGTCAAGTCAGCTCCAACTCACAGCCATGTTGTATAACAGATCAAAACACTGCTCAGTCCTGTGCCATATTCATGATTGTTGGTAATTGGACAGTGTAATCCACAGGGCTTTCATTAGCTAAGTTTTGGAAATAGATTGCCAGGCCTTTCTTCCAAGTCCTTCTTAGTTGGGAAGTTCTGCTGAAACCTGTCCACCATGGGTGACCCTGAAATACTGGTGACATAGTTTTCAGCATCACAGCAACATGAAAGCCAACACAGTACAAAAAAACTGACAGACAGGTGGTGGTCTTTAAATATAGGAGTTACATATATGATCTAAATCATTACATGCAGATGTTTTCTTTCCCTAAATGGTTCCCTTACATCCCCTTCTAGCTGTACTTATCTGTTGGTCAGAAAGTCTGGCAAAGGCTAAAAGAAAACAGTTGAACAGGGATGAACATCTAAAAGTCAAAAATAAATCAAGACAATGAAAAGGAAAAAGACTTTAAGAAATCCAAATGGTTTATTGGGCTCAGATCTTAAATAGCAGGGGGAAAAGAACTGAAAAAAAAGAATAACAGGGAAGTAGGCAGTACCAAATCTCTAGGAAAAAGGTGACTAAAGGGTGGAATGAGCTGAGGCCCCATCCCTGGTGACAGTGACTCCACATCCATGTTCACCTCATCAGAGTTCACCTCCACCTCTTCCCCCACCCCCAAGGTTCCTCTCTACTTCCAGAACCTGATTATCCACTCCAACCTGATCCATCCACGTAGGAGTCCTAAGCCTCACAACATTCCAGGGCTTTCCTACCCCCAAAACCATGCAAAGGAGATTCAGAGAGGAGTTTGAGGCATTGCTCTGAAAAACTGGGCAAAATATCTTGGTCAAGACCAAAAGAGCACTGTGAGAGCAGGCTGATTAGCCTGAGGCTCCCTCCCAACCCTCACTGCTGAGGTGTATGTGCTCCATGTGGGTAAAAAGCCTGCAGTCTTGAATCAGGCCCTGTTCCCCTTTCTTTATACAAGTATTTTGAGTCTAAATCTCTAGAAATTGTTTATGCAAGGTGGATGAGAAGAAAGGTCTCATAGTTAGGTGAAAGCATGTGGACTTTGAGAAAAGTGTGCTGCCTCCATGAATGTCATAGGCACTATGCCACCAGAGCTCCTGCCATGGCATTGCAGGTGCATATAAAGAGGGGCCAGGAGATAGCCCAGCCCCACAGGCACAGGTGTCTTCATTGGTTTATATAGAAAGAAGGATGAGCCCCAGGACTCTTTTTCCTATTCACATAGAGAATGTGAGCCCCTCCCACCTCCAGACTGTGTAGGTAGAGATGCCTGGTAGAGGCATGTACTGGATCCTATCCACAGCTTCCCACATCTATGTCAGGACTTGGGCAAGCCACTCTGTGCACAGATGCTCACCTTGGGCCTATGAATGCCTCACTTGGGCTCCATGTGGCCCTCACAGACATCTGAGCCCTGAGAGCCTTTTGGGGGTACTTAGCTGAGTCCAAATTCATGTAAAAGTTACTTCAACAGAATCAGTCAAGCAGCCAATTTAGTCCTGGGAGTGCTGACACACAGAGATGTGGCTGGACTGGGTAGGGGTGGTCTGCTGCTCTTGAGCCTGCGTTTCAGTCTCAAGCCTCTGAGTATGGGGCACACCTAACTGAGGTAGAAACTCCCTTGCCTGACCATTTCTGGCTCCCAAATCAATAGCATGTCCAAATAGTTTGTTTATTAAATTACTACCCTCAGTGGGGTCCTAGGACTCTGCTATCTCATGGTCAGGGGCTGGCTTCAGGGCTAACCTTCCACTCTCAGGACATATGCCATCCCAGCCCTGACATGGTGCCTGCAAGGGGATGTGCTTCAGAAGGGCTCTAGGTCAGAGCTTGACCCTTTCCTGCTGGATCTCCCCAGATCCCAGACATGGTCTCTTGTTTGCCCCTTTCTGCCCTCAGAAAATTCCCTGGTGTTAACAGGCTCACCAATATGTCCATTCATCCTTCATACTCCAATTGGCAATTCAGTTTAGAGTCAGGCCTTTCCTCTATGACCTAGTACTATGGTCATCAATGCATGGCCATGGTACTCCTTTTAAAGAAAGAGGATATCCCAGTTGAGGTCAGGCCTGAGGCTCTCTCCTTGTAGATGTGGTACCTGAAGAAACATGTGAGGATCATCTCAAGGGCATCTCAAGGGCATCTCAAGGGCCCATCAAGTAAACAAGTGCTGCCAGAGAATGAGGGCCACAGTATGAGAATGCACTGGCCCCTCACAGGCTTTGTATACAGGGTTCTTACCCTCATTTACCCAGTCACCTGCCACGAGGGCCATGGGACCACAGGTTGAACCTCAATTAGGTTGTAGTTTTTGTGGTTATAGTCAGACTCGTGAGTAGTCAGAGGAGTATTCAATCATGGGAATAACTTCAAAAATACAACGAACACAGCCTACACCATGGAAAAAAAAGAAAAGGAAAGGAGATATCCCTCCCTGTTTCCTTTCCTTTGTAAGTCATAAGGACTGAAATTTTTCTCTTGGGATCTTGTCTTTCAGGCTGAGTGTCCCTGGGTGGTGCAAAGAGTTAATGCACTCAGCTGCTAACAAAAAGGTTAGAGGTTCAAGTCCACCAGCGGTGCCACAGAAGAAAGGCCTGGTAATCTATTTCTGAAAATCAGCCATTGAAAATTCTATGGAGCACAGCTCTACTCTGACACTTGAGCTCTGCTTGACACATGACACTATGAGTCAGAGTCAACTGGATTGCCCTAACCAGGAAGTTGATTTTTTTTTTTAACAAACAAATTTATTTTCTAGCAATTTGGGAGGCTAGAAGTCTGAATTCAGAGCACCATCTTAAACAGAAGGCTTTCTCTCTCTGTTGGCTCTGGAGGAAGGTCCTTGTCTCTTCAGCTTCTGCTTTCTTGATTTCTTGGAAATCTCCATGTGTCTTGGCATCTGTCTTACCCTCTCTCTCTCTCTCTCTCTCTCTCTCTCTCTCTCTTTGCTTGCTTGTTTAGTCTCTTTTATAGCTCAAAAGAGATGGACTCAAGATATACCCTACACTAATCCTGTTCATTAGCATAACAAAGAAAAGCCATTCTCAAATGGGATTATAACCACAGATACAGGGGTTAGGATTTACAACAAATATTTTTTGGGGACATACAGGCAGGTCTTTTTGAATGCAAGCATAAACTAGAAAGAAAGGAATACACACACAAAATCTCTAAGGCTTGAGATCAGATGTGTCTTCTAAATCACTGTCTTCCCTAAGAGGAACACTTCAAGTCAGCAGAGAGAATTGGGAAGAGTAGGGAGAGTCACCAAAAATCAAGAAAGGAGCTGGTGAACCCCATCTACTTCACAGTTTTGTCTGGTATATTTCATATTATCAACTATGCTCAATTGAGACCATTTTATCCTCAGATCTTAGACATTCACGAGCCTAAGGAACTCAATCTTAAAGAGCACACATTTCCTACTGCTACCCCTTCTCCAGTAAATCAACTCCAGGTCCATTCTCTAAGGCTCAGGGCCATACAAACAAAGTCAGGATCCACCAGAGACAGGTAGACTTCAACCGCCCAAATACCAAATCACAGGGAGTGGTGGAACATATCAGTGAACAAGAGCAAAGTCTAGGTCCTTTGGCCCCAGGTAAGTGGGCCTCACCTTAGCTTCATGTCACTATTGTTTTTCAGAGAAGGCTGGGGGCAAAGGTTTCACTTGGCTGTCCTCACACTGTGCTTCTCAAAGGATATTTACAGTGATCCCATGGGGCCAGGCCATACCAGATGGAAGAGTCTCTGATAGAAGGCTACTAAAGGAGTAAAATGACAGGTGGAATCGGCGTTCTGAAGAGTTTTGTTCTCAGGAGGGCAGACAGAGACCCATGCACCCACTACCCAGTCACCAACCGTCATCACCAGCTCCTGGGCCCATAGGCACCACTGGCCACCAGCTGCATGTAGAAAAAGCCCCACAAGCCTGACACCCACCTGAAACAATAGCATCAATGCTTACTTTTTTTGGAGCGGGAGAAGAATCGGATGCCCCCAGGAGAGGTAGAGGGGTTAGAGCTTGGGGATGACTCCTTCGACGAGGAACGGAAGATGCCACTGAAGCTCATGCGGCGTGGGGAACGTGGGGGCGACTCTTGGTAGGAGAATGGGAACACTGTTCTGGGTGATCCAGGACTGGTCTTGGGTCTCACAGGAGCAGACACAGGGCTGGAGGGCCGGTGCTGGGGGCCTCTGGAGAAGAAGCCCTTGGAGGGGCTGCCTGAACTGAAGGGGCTGTCCACCTGTGGAGACAGACAAGCAGAGGCACTCCAAATTCTGCCCTTCTAGACTTGTCATTGTCACACTGGCCAGCTCAATGCCTCCCCCCACCCCCCGCAGCCCCCTGCCCAGGATGGTGTGGGATAAGTACCCAACCTAAGGAGAGCTCATATACAGGATGGTCAGCCACCTTATCCCAGAAGCCCAGTGATAGCCCTGCCCAGACAGGGAGGTGGAAGGAAGAGGAGAAAGAGTGTGAACAGGTGGCTCAAAAGTATGCATCTTACTCCTTTAACCTATTTGGGTTGCCTTCTAAACTTTACTTCTCAAGACCTTACTTCTGTTCTTAAAGTACGACTATGCTGGAATATTGTTCTCCTGCCCTACCTCAAAAAAGGAGATATATATCTCTGTGATCTGGAAGGAAGTAGGCCTGTGGCTTCATCACAAGGGACCCTGGTGCTAGGAGACCATGGGCTTTCCTTCCTGTGGCTCTGGCTTTAGATGAGAGGAATGCTGCTCAAGATTACAATGAAACTGACAACCTGAAACCTTAAACCCTCACTCCCTTGATCACTTACAATTGTAGCTATAAGACATGGGTTGAAAAATTATTGGACCTTATAATTTATTTTATTTTTAAAAAAGGCATTATAGTTAAATATAACAAATTTGCTACTTTAACCACTTTAAGTGTACAATCCAGTGATATGAATTATGTTCACCATGTTGTGCAACCACCACCATCTACTTTCAAAATTTTTCATCACTCTAAACAGAAACTCAGTGCTCCTTAAGCAGTAACTCCCATTTCCTCTTCTCCCAGCCCCTGGTAACCACTAATAAGCTTTGATCTCTATGTATTTTCCTATTCTAGATATTTCATATAAGTGGGATTACACAATATTTATTCTTTTGTGATAAACTTATTTACTCAGCACGATTTGTCAAGGTTCATTCATGTTGCAGCATATATCAGAACTTCATTTATCTTTATAGCTGAGTAAGACTCCACTGTATGCATGTACTACATTTTGTTTATCCATTCATCTATTGATGGGCAATTTAGGTTGTTTCTACCTTTGGCTATTGTGAATAGTGCTGCAGTGAACATTGGTATCAAGTATCTTCTTGAATCCTTGCTTTCAATTGTTTGAGATATATACTTAGGAATGGAATTGCTAGATCATACGGTAATTTTATGTTTAACTTTTTGAGGAATGGACTCTTTACTTTTAAGTCAAGTTGTACAACTCACAGACTTAGAGACATACCAGATGTGTCCTATACATGTGTGTTCCTGTTTGAAAGGGCTTTAGATCATGTGCTCTGGGTAGTACCTGGTTTCAGTGTCTAGCTCAGCTCCTTATTGTATAATTGTGGACGCTACCAAGTCACTCTAAGCCTCAGTTTCCTCATCTGTAAAGTGTGTCCTCACCTCATAGGGCTGTTTGAGGTCGAATGAGAATTCACATATGATTGTTGGCACAGTACCAGGTGCATAGTAATCAGTCAACCTATGCTAAGCTGTGCCCTCTTATTACTTGGTAAACTTACAACACTGGAGCAGAAAGGACCTCCCAATCAGGGCTCCCCAGTCCAGCAGCAGACAGAATGGTGACTCACCCGTGGCAAGCATAAAGCCTGGAAAGCAGTCCAGCACTTGTTAAGCCACCTCGAAGGCCCTGGAAGCCCTAAAAAAATCCTGGTTGGAAACCAGTAGAGTGCTGAGAATGTGGGTCCAAACCCACCTGTAGGGGTGGAGGCTGGGGGGGGGGATGGGCAGAGTCATGGGCCCAGGCCATCCTGTAGCAGGATGGAGGCCAGGCCCAGGTAAGCAGTTCCACCACTGGAGGGCCCACTCAAGACTCTGAGCTTGCAGCTCAGGAAGGACCCAACACTGCTGCCATCTTCAGCACCATTAACCACACTAGGGTCTGACTTCTGCCAATGGATTCACCATCCAGCCTAACAAGTCAGATGGGAACCTTGCTTCTCCCTTTTCTGAATAGTGCCGAGGGATTCAGAACAATAGACTGAAGCTCATCTCGTTACAAAAAAGCAGTCAAAATTTTTCCTTTTTAATCATTTTATCTGAAAATCATTCAGATTCCGACTATATTTGGTGTAGCCAATATGCCACCTATTTATGGGATTCAAGCTTTGTGAAGGTTTTCCTAATCTCAAAAATAACTTTTATTTTCCGGGAACAACAGAAAGGAGAGTCAGGAATAGGAGGAAGATATGGAATGTGTGTCTAATTACCAACAGGGAACAACTGTCCGCTTTGCCATGAGACCAGAAGAACTAGATGGTGGGAGTGTGTCCAGAACTATGTATAGGGTTGGCAGACAATGTTTCTACATGTATATTTTTATGTGCTGTAAGAATGTCTGGGTGTACAGTAGAGCTGCCAAAGGACAAGTTTGTGGTGGCTTCTAGGCCACAGCCAGCTACCCTGAGAGAGCAAGTAGTCAGATCTGTGGGCTTTGGACCATGGTTGCAGGGGACATCAAGCTCAATTGAAATAATATGCTACATAAAAACAATGTTCTACATCCTACTTTGGTGAGTAGTGACTGGGGTCTTAAAAGTTTGCAAAAGGCTATCTAGATGCAATGAATGGTCTCTCCTCATTCAGAGCAAAGAAGAATGAAGAAAAGCAAAGACACATGGAAACAATTACTCCAAGGGACTAGCAGACCATGTGACCCTCAGTCTATCTGACCATGAGACCAAAAGAACTAGATGGTATCCAGCTACCACTGTCAACCACTCAGAGGGGGATCAATGCAGGAGATCCTGCATAGAGTGGGAAAATAATGTGGAACAAAACTTAAAATAATAATAAAAATAAAAACACCAAGCTTGCTGGTCTAATACAGCGTGGCGAGACCCCTGAGACTATGACCCCTACTTACCCTTCAGGTCTGGAAGTGAACTCACTCCTGTGGCTTCCAGCCAAACACTAGATAGGCATATAGGGTGAACATTTACATCAGATAGACACACTCCTTGGAGCAATCAACCGTGTGAGAACAGAAGGGCAGTGTGTGTATAGGGAGATAGCTTGGGGTGGGAGGCAGCAGGAGTATACAGGAAGAGGTAACTACAGGGAGGAAGTGAGAAGAGAAGGAAAGGAAGTGAGGCCAGGGTTCCCATCAGGGAAGGAAGGAAAGGAGCAAAGCCCAGCTTTGGGAAGAAGGGAAGGGAAGGGAAGGGAGACCTGGCTTCCCACCTGGCCTCTGCTCTCCTCTGGTTTCTAGCTGTGCTGCCTCCTGCAGAGCCCCTCTTTACCTCTGCTTTCTCCTCCTCTCTACTGTAAGAGCCTGGCAGCATCTCCGATTCTCTTCCTACTATCCATTATACATTGAATTGTGTTCCCTAAAAAGATGTATTGAAGCCCTGATCTTGGTACCTGTGAACTTGAACTTGTTGTTTAGAAATAGAATCTTTATAGATGTTACCAGCTAAGTTAATACAAGGTCTTCCTGGAGTAAGGTGGGTCCTAATCCAATCTAAGTGGTATCCTTAAAAGGAAAGAGAGACAAACAGAAGGTAGATGGCTATGTGACTATGGAGTTATGCTGCAATGGCAAGTCCAGGAACACCTATGTATCCCAGAAGCCCGGACATATGAGAAGGAACTGGATGACTCCTTGAATTCAGACTCTAGTCTCCAGAACTGTGAGATAATACATTTCTATTCTTATAAGCCACTCGGTTGGCAGAATTTTTTTTTTTTTTAGTGGCAGCCCTAGGAAACTAAGATACACCCTCAGAAAGGGTTAGATACCAATAAGAATTTAAACCATGTTTTTCTTTTCAGGGGTATTTACATTTTGAACTGAACCCCTAATGTAAGGGACAGAATTTGGCAGGGGGAGAGCGAAGCCCTTCCCAGCCAATTTAGAGACTAGTACACAGAAACAGTTACCTAACCTGCCCGCAGAAAGGTGGGCCTTGCTAGGCCAATAGAAATTCAAGGCTATTGGAATCAGTGGAAAGTGGAACCAACAACTGTCAAGTCAGGAGGAGGAAGTGTCTGCCCTCTTGGGTAGGCAACACTGGGATGGAGCTGGGGATAGGATTGGGGTAGCAGAGGCCCAAGGAACAGTTGTAGGCTACAAAGTCAGTGGGAATCCCAAGTATTCCTCCCCTTCTCTTCCCAACAAACACACTTTGCTTCAGAAGTTCTGTCTCCAGGTCATACAGGTGCTAAAAGATACAGGGAGAAAAAGGGTGCTGTTAAAGAATATGTTTTACAGAGTTTTTGTTAAGTGTGGTAGAAAATACACATTAGAGTGAACATAATTAATGTCAAAATGGTAGAAATGGCAAATGCTTTGTTTTATGTATTTTACTACAATTTTTAAAAAACGAAGAAGAATATTTTTGATCAAGAACAAATGCCTTCCAGTTAATAGGAACTTGTTCCTTGAGTTTTCTGCAGCCTCTATTGCTAAGACATATGCTGGATGATGCTATTACAACTAGTCACCTTCTTGTGAGTTTATGTCTTCTCTTCTATCCCACTCAGAGGGTAAGGCTCATGTCCTAGAATTTTCCAACACCACTGCTAGTGTTACCAAAATTCTAAGTCAATGTTGGGTGGTGGTAAGAAAACTGTCATTGTCCTTTTCTGTCCAGATACCATTCATTTGTGACAATGACTTACTTGTTCAGGAACCATTCCAGAGAGCCACAGTTGGGGTCAGGTTTGGGCTATGTGAGACTCCAGCACTATTGGCCCCATCCCAGCCACAGCATCTCTGTGTTTTTCCCTCAGGGTGAGTCCTTACTTCAGCCCTCACTTGTGTGGAGGAAGCTTTTTGTGGCAGCAAGCCCTTTGAGTCCTACAGATGGGCCTGACCAGGCTGCTGCTCCTTCCAGGCCCTCCATTTCTTCCCTACTAACCTGGGAAGCTCTAGAGGCCATGGCCACAGCATCTTTTACAAGCCATTTCTGGATGAGCCAATCACTGTTGATGGGATTATTTGATGAGGGTTGGAGGTGTCTAGGCAGGAAGCAGAGCCAATTTTGCCCCAAAGGTCTAAACTAATTTGTTGGTTTAATTGAATGTAATTCAAAATGTTTAGGGAATAAACTGACCTTGTCTGTTATTGTCCTGCTCTAGTGCTGGCTGGCATCACCCAGAGCCCTAGAGTCAGACCTCACTCTGAATCTCTACTCTTAGACCTACCTGCTCACTCTCTTCTCTTACTGGGTTTGCAATTGGTAGCACCTTCATCAAATCCCTACCACAGAGGTCTGAGGTACAGGGGTCCCATGTCTCCTCACCCCAGGCAGCCTTTCCACCCTTTCTTGCTTGGCCACCCCACACCTCCCAGAGTAACTTTTATCCTCTTTCTATCCTTATATACTCCCTCTGGTCTACCAGGTCCAGGATAGCTGACAGCCTTGTAGAGACACTGGTTTCCTAATGGAAGAAAAATTAATCATTGGGGTAGGACCAGAAGAGCAGTAAACCAAAGAGAGGCCCAGAAAAAGCAAAAAATGAGGATGAAAGAGAAGAAAAAGGGGCAGTGGCATGTGGAGAAGGGATAGGTGCAAAACCAGGGGAAGGGAGAGAGACCAAAAGTTAGCTTTTCAGAGGGAGTGCAGGCGGGTTGAGGAAGAGAGTAACTGAAAAACATAGATGACCCCAAACCTCACATCCATCAATGGTATCAGCCTCCTCACTTTGCTACTTGGCCCCTTGGTACTCAGCTCATTGCTACTCTTTTTCAATGATCACTGCTCATATTGGGGATTCTAACCACAGTAACAGGACTCAGAGGGAGAAGGAGGAACAGGAGTAGAGCCCAGTGTGCTCTCAGATGGGGCAACAGATGAGGAGAGGAGCTTGACCTGTGCAGTGACCTGTCCCAGTGTCCACCACAGCAGGTGGCATCTCAGTAAGCCCCACAGGTGAGCCAGGAGAAGCTGAGAGGGAGGCAGCTTACCTTGCGAGAATGCTTTTCTGTGCTCTCCAGGTCTCCATCCAGGAGTGGCATGGCGAAGGAGCTCAGGTCCTAGGATGCAGAGGAACATTGGTCAGCAATGGCTTCCTGTGCTCTCAACCCAGGGGCTTCAAAGGGCTCTAAGTGTGCACCTTTCTTCCTGGTTCCTTCTCTTGAAAATCAACCACTGGGGTACATGGTGGTGCATGAGGTTCAAAGAAGGTGATGAACTGTTAGCCTCTCTTCAAAATTGCCCACTCTTCTCCACACTCCTCTCTGGAATGCTGAACCCCACTTTCAGCAACAGTCACCAAACCCCCACATGCAGGGGAGGAAGAAAGAAGGAAAATGGACAGGAAGAGAAAAAGCAAAAGAGGGGAAAAAAGTGGGGAGGGAGAAAGGCCCATTTTGGGGTATTTGGGTATTTGGCTGATAGGATGAAAAGAGCAGGTGGGGGGACAGGGACACAGGGGCTCAACAGCATGGCTAAGGCATATGCATGTGTGTGTCTTCGTGTGTGTGTGTGTGAAAGGCTGTGAAGCGGTGTGGCAGCTATGTGAACCACCAGCAATCCCCATGCTATGTGGCCCAGAGGACGGATGGAAGCTGGCACAGCCTGCAGTGGGGCCTCCCCACATTCTCACATCCCAAACAAAGTCACCCTTTACCCTCAGATCTGCTCCTCCTTCCTTCCATACCCTGTCTTGGTGGCAGTCTTCATGTCTGGAGGCCTGCTCCTTCACCTTTCTTCAACCCACCCTTTGCCCACCAAGCATGGAGCCCAGGCTGCCCCCTCATGTCTGGGCTCACTCCTTGGTGGATGGCTCGTTCTCTAAGCATTTTTGTCTGGCCTCAATTTTCTCCATCCTGTATACCTCTGTCTGTAGAGTGATCAAGAGGATGTAAGCCCAGGGCCTCCTCCATCACTAGGGCAGTGGCTCCTGGACCATACTGGCAAGCACTGAACTGGGCAGACCTAGCACCATGCCACCAGACCTTCCCACAGATGTCTTGGCTTCAGCTGTCCCCAATGGGGGCTCACCCCTGGAGCAAGAAAGGACCACATGGAAGGATGTCATCCTTAGGCCCCTTGCAGAGAGGAGTTGATGGCCCAGGTGCAGCCTGGTGGAGAGCCAACTCCCTCACGTGGCTCAGCTCTTCAGGCACTGCTCAAGGTGAGCAGGAGTGGGTGCTGCCTGGGTCCTCAGTGTCCAGCTGTGGCTTTGCAAACCCATGGAGCCTTCCTCTGTCATCACAGCCTGCCCAAATGTTGGTGTTTCCAAACAAAACTCCATGGCTGGACATTGCCTGGAACATCCCTCAGCTCCTCAAATGTCTGCCTAAGACTCAATTACAACCACCTACCACCCAGTCCTGGCCCTGGCTTCCCTCAACCTCCTAGGATGGCACCATATTCCCTCTCCAGCCCCAGCACAAAACCTGCACAAAGACAGCAGGGGATCAACAGCACTGACTCCTGCCATTCCCAAACCCTCTAGCCCTATCCTTCCTCAGGGCCTTTGACTCCTTACTCCACCAACCTCATTTACAGTGAACTATGGGTCAGTCAAAGTCCAATCCAAATATTATCTCTGGCCTCAACCCATCCTCAGGCAAAATAAATTATTCTCTGGTCTTGTGCCAATAGTACTGTAGACATACCTCATGATAGGACTGCTCACTCCATGCTACAATTGTTATTTATCAGTCTATTCCCCTACCTAGACTGAGTTTATCAAAGGCAAGAAGTGAGTCACTTTTGCATTCTGTCTTGCATATAGCAGGTGTTCAAAAGTGTCTGAATTAACTCTTCCACACACCACTCACCCCAGTGCTACAGTATGGGCTAGAGCAGAGCAAACAATAAGTGCTACAGAAGTAGTTTCCAAGTGCAGTTCACAGGAAAGGGGGCAGGTACAGGCCACTTATTTCCAGTTTTAATGAGTACATTCCACTCATGTTTCACATGGTCATTACCCACAAACATTTGTTCAGCAACAACAGTTTCCACTGGGAAAGCATTTCACAGACATTCACCTGTTCCTCACACATCAGCCCCAGGACCCAGGCTCCCATCACTGAGGCCCAAGGAGGCCAACTGCTCATGTTAAGATGCTCTGGAAAGAGTTGAGGCTAAGCCTTGCTCCTTTTTCTCTCAAGGGCTTCCCCCAGCCCGACAGCCACTGGAAGGAGCCGCCCCTGGTTCCATGTAGGTCTTCCTGATAGTATATCCAGTCAACTAGGTCACTGCAACATGGCCACTTCTTGGCAGACTGACAGGCTTTGCTAGAAGGCTTCCACCCTGACTCTCATTATTCTAATCTGGGCTTCCATCTTCCAGAGCTCTCCAAGAAGCTCTGAGCACGTTGGATGCTGGGTGTGGGAAAATCTCTAGCTGCAACTAGAGTAGCAGGATCATTAGCTTTAGGATAATGAGAACCTGGCCTCTTAGCTTAGCTGACATTTCTGAAAGGTCTGGGCTCCTGGAATTTACTGGGCTCCTACTAGAACTTCATGCTTTCCTCACTGCTGCCATCTGCCTTTCACTCTAATCCTTTGACATCCTCCAGTCCTTCAACATGCCAATCAAGCCCCAGCTATGCACTGGTTAGACATTTCATGAGGCTCTATTGAGGCATCAAGAGAATTTTAAGATTGAACAGACAGTTTCAGAACTCTGGAATTTTCATCAGTTGCACAAAACGTCTTTTAGACCTTGACTGCATGTTTGGAGATGATTGTCAGGGTCTTTAAGAAAAGCAGATTTTTAGGATTTTGGCTGAAAAAGTCACCTGCCAGGAAAGCATCAGGAAAAAAAGAGAAAAGAGGAGCCCATATCCCAGGTTTGAGAAAATTCTCAAGATGTGATCTGATTTTAAAAGCAACTCACTTACCCTCCCTCTTCAGAAATCCAGGCAAAAACTAAACATCTACTACAAAAAAAAAAAAAAAGCTAAGTTATCAACAACATAACCATCATTAATCTGCCATTAGTATGTCAGTCTTAAATCTTCCTATTGTTGCTTAATTTGGTCCTTATAGCAACCCATAAAAGTGAGGAACAGTGGTGGTTCAGAGGTAGAATTCTCGCCTTCCATGTTGGAAACCCAAGTTCAGTTCCTGGACAATGGCACACCTCTGTTAGTGGAGGCCTGTGTGTTGCTATGATGTTGAATAGGTTTCAGCAGAGCTTCCAGACTAAGATGGACTAGGAAGAAAGGCCTGGCAATCTACTTTCAAAAATCAACCAACTGATCATGGGGACAGTGCAGAATCATGCAGCATTTTGTTCCTGTATTGAGTCACCATGAATCAGAGGCCTACTCAACAGCAGATGACAATAATAGATGAAGAAACTGAGGATCAGAGAAGTTAAGCTACCTTCCCAGGGCCAGACAACTGAACAGTAGTAAACAAGTATAATTATCTGCATCCAACCACTCCTAGCTCAGAGCTCTTTCCATTAATCTCCACTACTTTCTTGGTATTTCTATTTTCCAGTAATAGAAAAACAACTTGGTATTGGAGGCTATAAAGACACAGAGTGTCTTCTGTGAAAATGAGTATCCCTGGTATAGTGTGACCTTGGGAGAAGAAGGAAGGATGAAGGATTTGTATAGTTCAATCATTTAATCCCAAGACATCTTAAGATAATCATTCTCTTTAAGTTCTTTTTCTTAATTAAATGAAATTCATGCTCAAGAACAGAAAAATATAAATATAAATATAATTTGCTAGAAGGCTCCCACCCTGACTCATTTTCTAACATATTTACATTTATATAATATATAAATATAATCCCACCACCAAATGGCAATCATTTGACATTCTGGCACTGTTTTACCTTATGTACACTTCTTATACCCCACTTTCCCTGATTTGTCTCAACACTTTCCACAGGACAATGAAACATCTGATGTTTGCAGTCAGCTTGTTTGTGAGCTCCTGAAGGAGGAGGGACTCCTCAAAGGTAAGGAGTTTGATCCTGCCCTAGTGCTGACAGCAGGTGTTCCATAGTGTGAAATCGATCAGATACCCTCCTGAGTCCTCAGCTTTCCAGATATTTTCTCTTCCAAAACTGCTCTGTTGATGCAGCTGGGATGCCCCACACAGAGAGCTGATCAAGTGCAAATGCAGGACAAACAGAAAGGCCACTGAAGTGACCTCAGCCTCCATCCCAGAGTCAATTAGGGTCACAAGTGTCAGCTTTACGATAGAACATTCCAACCAAGGAAGGAATATGTACTGGACAGTTTCTTTCTTCACCCCACTGAGCAAGCTGGAGTACATACAGTACCAGAAATATCTGACCCCCTTCCTCATCCCCCAAGCTGTGGAACCACTGAGTGTCCCTTCTAAGCACCTAGAGCCCTGCACCCCAAGGCACCAAGAACAGAACCTGCTCCCAGAATTAGAGGTCTGGTTCCAGCTCCAGCTCTGTGCTTACCCTCTGGGTGATCTTGGGCACATCAAATTTCTGCTCTTCATCTGTCCAATGAGAGGTTAATGAGATCACTTCTAAAGATGCCTATGAGCATACCCATTCCTTGCTTTTATCCAAACTGAGCAACAACAGGGGCACCAGGAACGATTCAAAAGAGGGCTGCTGTAAAATACATTTTTTAGTCTCCTATTCTTAGTCATAGAATAATTATCTCTCACTCTCACACTACAAGATGAGCCCTCATGGCTCTGGCCTTTAAGCAGAGTCTTAGTGAGCAATGAGCATCACTAAACCAATGGGGAATAGAGGCATTTCCTTCATGATAGTGTATAATGAACAATTTGTGCTTTCCATTTGTAATGTGTTTCTTGATCTGCTTCTTAAGTTCTAGCCCTTCTGGTTTCTAGATTGATTTCTCTGGCCTCTGGGCACTAAGGACCTAGATGGTCAGTATAAATGCCAAGTGAGTCCTATTGGATGCTCAGCGTGACTCCAGGAAGGTAGTGAGTAGTCCTCAAGTCCCCTTAAAGTCTCCAGGCCCCACACAAAGCCCAGCTCACTTCCCCACTATCTGCCCCCTGGTCATTGCCATGCTTGAGCTGCTCATTCTGGATTAATCTCATTCGTA